TAACACTTTGCTATAATCCCAGTGTTGGATGCATTTATGAAAAACCTGTCCAGGGCACCTAGACACAAACTGTAACATTTCTATGAGAATATCAGACATTTTAATAAAGGATAGAAGGGGAAGATTTTTTTTTTTTTTTTTTTTTTTTTTGCGGAACTGGGGATTGAACTCAGGCCCTTGTGCTTGCCAGGGAAGCGCTAATTCCACTGAGCCACCTCCCTGGCCCCAGTGGAAGAATATTTTAACAGCTTTTTCATGAGTCTCAGAAACAACCCCAATATTCATGATCAGGAGGACAAAGAAGGAATTTTAGCATATTTGTAGAATGGAAAACTCCCTTTTCTTCCTTCCTTGGTCTCCTCTTTTCCTGGTTGTTTTTGCTGTCTTCTAACACCATGAACAGTTTCTCCTGATACTCCTCTGCTAAGCCAACCTGCCTTGATGCTAGCCTATTATGTACTGGAACCTCTACAAACTGTGAGCTAAACACTTCCCTTCCTTTAACTTTAGAGCTTGGCTATTTTTGTCTCAGCAATGATAAAAGACAGAATCTGACTCAAACCAGAAAAATGCAAGCCTGGAAAAGGTGGGAATGACTTTTGATCTCATTTTATATCCTGGAGACAAACACAAGATACAAGGGGTTGGGAGGAGAGCTCATCTTATTCTTGGTTCTCATTGGAAACAAAACCTAACACTGGTTCTGTAGCCACCCTTATCCCAGCAACAGCCCTTCACCTGCTTGGCAGGAGTGGCCCTGAGGCAGTGCCTTTTCATCTCCTTTGACTCTGGCTTGCTCCTGATAGCCCCGTGCCCTGTGATCTAGTCATCACTATCAGACCTCGTTACCTTCCAGGCCTTCCAGCTCCATGGCTTCTAGGGAAGCAGCATCTCCACAGGCTAAGTGCTGCCACCTTGTTTCCATTGTAGTAGTGCATGTGGGTGGCAGGGCCCCGAGGATGCTGGGATGGTGTGGCTATGGACCAAGTACACACAACAGAGCTGAGCCTGAGGAGACACAGCTCAGCTGTCTAAGTACATGCCTAGCCAAGAGCAAGGACCTGGGTTCAATCCCCAGTACTACAGTCTGAACTGGCCCTGCTACCACACCAAGACTGAGTGTGGTGGTACATGCCTGTGCCAGGAAAATGCAGTAAATACCAAACACAGCAAATGGAGTTGGGGAGAAACTGCAGAACAAGAGATACGAAAAGCAGATCTTAAGGGCCAGCCAAATAGCTCAGCGGATTAAAACACCTGCAAGCAGGTGCAGGGGTTGGGGGCTCTATCTTCGGGCCTGCCATGTTGTAAATAGGAGAATCACAAGTCCAATCAATCTAGGGCTGGTGAGATGGCTCAGTGGTCTAAAGCACCTACTTAGAACAAGCTTGGCAAAGCACAGGGACCGCGGTTCAATCCCCCAGCACCACATGCCAGCCAGCCCCGCCCCCTGGTGGGCTGAGCTGGCCACACACACACACACGCATAAATAAATAAATAAAATTAAAAAAAAATTTAAAAAAAACAAGTCCAATCAATCTAGTAGTGAGACCCTGAACATCCTGTAGACCCTTCCCTAAAATACAAAAAAAAAAAATCTTAAGAGCAGGGAAGGACTTTTCAAATACCGTGAAGTACTGGTAAACCCTGAAACTCCATTCTAGCAGCTGCTCTAGATGTCACTGTATATACAGAGCTTATCCTGGCATTTTGCTGGCAGCAATTTTAATGTTATCATGGTCCTATTGCCAACAATTTATCAGTGTGTGGAGCTCAGGAACTTGACCTCTTCATGTCCCTTTACTCTCCCATATTTGTAACTGTCATTTACTTAACATATACTAAAAGTTACAATTTTTTTTTTTGCAGAACCTGGGATTGAACTCAGGCCCCTGCACTTGCCAGGCAAGCGCTTATTCCACTGAACCCCTCCCCCGGCCCTGTGTTTTTAATATAGCATATTTGCTATTTTAGCATTCTTTTTTTTGGCAGAACAGGGGTTTGAACTCAGGCCCTTGTGCTTGCCAGGCAAGCGCTTATTCTACTGAGCAATCTCCCCAGCCCTTACAATTGTTAACACTTTGTTTCAACAGACATTTGGAAATCTCAAGTTTATTGTACTTACCTGTACTTTTTACTTTTTTTTTTTTAAAGCATTTTCTCAAAAACTTCCTTTAGCCATTCTTTTTTTTTGGGGTGGTATCAGTGATAGCTGAGGGCCCCTGAGCTACATTCCCAAATCTTGAGACAATCTTAGTAAGTTGCTAAATTGCCCAGACTGGGCTAGTGCTACGGCTGTCCTGTCTGAGCCTCCTAGAGTGCTGGGCTTTCAGGTGTGTGCCACCGCATCTGACTCCCTTTAGCCATTCTAGCAGGCAGGTTTGTTGACAACAAGTTTTCTGACCAGCTTCAGTTACTAGTGCCACATAAAAACAAAAATAAAATGTCAAGTTTTCTCAAATATATCACAGATTGTAAAATATACTGTTAAGAAGTCTACTGCAAATTTTCAGAAATACTTTGATTTCAGACATGTTACATCATGAAAAATTTGCTCACTGGTATTTGTGAAATTAACAAATACTGCAATCATGTAAGATCAAGATTATAGTGACATCTTCAGATGTGTTTAAGAGCAAATCAGAGCTCTCGAAGCTACTATCATTTCTACATTGAAAATATTTTTCCCCAAATACTGGAATTTTATTTCTAAGCTTACAGGTTGTAATAAACTTCAATATAAAATGTTTTAACCCAGAGCTACTTGGTCAGGGTCCAAGGCCCGCTGGAAACAGGATGACAGACCCTGTTAAGAGAGGGCACCCAGCTGGTTCACCTTACATTATGTTATACTCCAGGCTAGTGATGGTGAACCTTTTACAGCTTTCAATGACACCAAACAGTCCCCAGTGGCACACGTGCCACAGGTTCGACACCACTGGCAGGTCATTTGTTATAAAACTCCACCCAGAGGTAGTAGCATAAGGGAGCTCCACATAGTGGTGGACTGACATGCAGGATTCTGCTCAAGTTCCCAAACTCACAGCATAAAGACTCACCTACTTTCTCTATGTCGAACTGGAACAGAGTAATGAAAACAATGCCACTGTGGGTTTTCGATCACATACCTTCCTGAAGTATGTGATCACTTGTCCACATGCCCTGAGCAGAGCCCCACGAATGGCATGCAAAGGTACTTGGAGTGTCTATGGGATGTGACTGGCTATGGAAAAGGTCTTCAAAACCTTTAGGACATCAGCTCTGTTTGGTGTGAAGATGAGAATCAGAGAAGAGAAAAAACACATAGAAACATCACAACCTCAAGAACTTGGCAAAGCTGGAAAAAGAATGCAGCCAGACCTCCTCATGAAAGTTCATCATGCCAGTTATCATTTCTACACACCTGCTGCAGAATGATAAATCTACATCAAAATGCCCACTAAGTTCCTAAGACTTATGTTTGAGAAAAAAGCTGAGATCATATATACAAAAGCTCAAATGAAAAAGTGGTATTTGAGAAAAAAAAAATACTACAAGGGGATCAGAATTTCTTTATTGTCTTTTTACAAAAATCATGTAAACATCAGCATAGACCTCTCCCTATTGTCCCAATTCCAGAATCATCATGACACATTAACTTTACATTTAACATAAACAGGAGAAATGAAATGAATTACTAGATAAACATATACAGTTCTGTTGGCTTGTCTGGGAAGCATTTTTCCTTTGCACACGAAGGTTCAGTCAGTAGATTCATGTGGGCAGGACTTGGTGACAGAGAATAGTGGATACAAGCAGCTTACGCTACCACACATCATACTGGAATGCCTTTTCTCTTCAAAAAGTGAAGAGCTAGTACGCCGACTATTCCTGCAGTGGCTGGAACTTTACCTCCTTTCAAAGGAATGGCCCACATCCATGGGCTTGAGACAAGCATGCGTAGTTGCTCTCATTTTTTACTTTTCTTTAATTAGACATACCAGATCGAGGTTTTCCTTACATCAGGAAAAAAAAATAGGAACATGCAGCCACATGGACTGAGAACAAATGGGAGAATTACGCAGCTTCTTCTTTACCCACTGAAGATTTCTGAAGAAATGTGAACCAACCAACTCGTTGCTCCAGTACCTTCTGTGGTAGAACAGCTTGGCTGAAATTTGGTTTCCAGAACAGTATATACTCAAGAGAAGCACCTGCTAGAGCAGTCACAAGGCCTGGTGACCTCTTCCTTTAAGCTGGTTCTGCTTGCCCTAAATGTCATGGCAGCCAGTGAGGACAGAGGCAACTTTCCCAGTTGTGACTGAATGTATACTACTGATAACTCAAAATGAAGAATTACCACACAGGTTAAACATCCGTCATCTGAAAATCCCAAAGCCTGAAATTTCCCAAATTCTGAAACTTATTGAGCATTGACTTGATGCCACAAGTAGGAAATCCCACAAAGGATGTCAGGTGACAAGCCCTTGTTAGGATGTAAGCACACTAAAAAGATTGTGCAAAGTTACCTTTGGCTATGTGAATAAAGCATAGGAACATAAATGAACATTCTGTTCCGACTTGGGTCACGCTCCAAAGAAATCTCATCATAAACAGGTAAATAAAAATATGAAGTCCAAAAATCTCACCCCAAGTATTTCAGGTAAGAGATACTTAATCTGTACCAGGAACTTGGTAGAGAATGAGGGAGTTAGGGCCTTTGTTTGACTGATTCCTACTGATGCCAGATGCTTTCACAATGAGATCCTGCAGGCCAAACTGGCATTATGTCCCAGGTATTCTCTAGGCATCTGTTAGTTCCCTGGAAAAATGGGACAGAGTACCTGGAGCAGGCTACTGTGTTCTCTTGAATGGATGGTCTGGTCTATTATTGCAGGATGTAGAGTACTTCTTTTTCGACTTTTACTTAGCCCAACTCACCCTACAGAGCATGTTTCTTTTCTTACCTTTACTAAAGCTTTGCTACCATTAAAAAAAGAAAAAAAAAAGGGAGCCTGCCTATTAGCTCAGTTGTTTAAGTGACTGCTTACATAAAACAGTCAGGCTCAGGATGCTGTGGTTCAATCCCCAGAACCTTAACCTTGCCAGACTTGTGCATCCTGAGCCATCAAAAACAAAACAAAACAAAACAAAAAAACCTTCTGAAAAAAAGAAAACAAAACAAAATAAAACATGGAGTAAACAGCATAGCAGCTAATACAGAGTAGGTGTCCCATAAGTGCTCCTGGGTCAATGATATTTTTGACATTTATTGAACACCAATTCTATGCCAGACTCTGTGTTTACTGTTTTATATTTTATTTCCTAGTAGGTGCTATTAGTTTGTTTTTTAGCTGTTTAAGTCAAAGATCCACTTTATTTAGATAAGGTTAAAATATTAACTGTGATCTGCCTGATTTAGAAACCTCATGTCCTTTGCATTACTCAACATTGCTCTTTTTCTGTTATTTTACTCCCGACAGAGTCACACAGAAACTGAAAATAAGCTGCATTAAAAACCCAAGATTGGTAGCTAGGAATGGTAACACACACCTGCTACTTGGGAGGATGAGACAGGAGGATTGCAAGCTTGAGGTTAGTGTAGGAAACCTTGTGAGATCTTACGTCAAAATGAAACAGTCTCGGATATTGCTCAGTTATAGAGTGCTTACTGAGTAGGTACTGAAGTCCTGGGCTCAATCCTCAGTATCATAAAAACACAACTATAAGAAAATCTACATTTCTAAACTTGGCAGATTAAAGAACAAATAAATCTAAGATTCCTAAACTTGGTAGATTAATAAAACAAGGAGTAAACAATATGAAGTAAAATAATAAGCCCTATGTGGAAGAGAACAAGAAAGTGCTGTTAAATATCTCATGATATGAATTCTAATTATTATCATTATAATTATGCTGCAGAGGGCTGTTAGGAGAAAGTAATAGCATTCTCCCCATTACCCTCCCTTCTCAAGAACTCGACAAGAGCACTCTTTATGTTCCATGTGATTAAGCTGCCCAGTGCTAGGACACACAGCTAGTAAGAGTCTCCACCACAAAGGCAGCTGGTAGATGGCACGGTGCCAGGAGCGGGGGTTCAGCTTCTAGGCCCAGCTACGGTGGACTGGGTGGTACCTAGTCTGGATCTATGGTTTCGCTACAGAGTAATCAGCTGACCCTGCTCAGGAAACACTGTTCACTTAGTCCTGGGATTGCCCAGGAGAGCACAGTACAGGATGGAGAAACAAAATGAATATAACCAGGAAAGACATTTTAGTATCAGCAGAAATAAAGCCAGATTCCTCTGAATTTGGGAGATGATTAAAATCTTAGTTACTGTGGTAAGAACTCTGTCAATGACAAGTGGCTGCCTTCAGATGCTAAATCCCATTATCCTTTGAATTCCTATACAAACGTCAAGGGTTACAGACATCTGCCCAGGGCCTATTTTCTTCCTGCCAATGCTGCAGGATCTGACCTCCACTGGCTTTTCTTGACAGCTGACCATGAACAAGAATTTCAACAGTGTGGCTTTGAACTAGTCTGAAAATCTAAATAAGTGCTTTGATGATTGGCTTTGACACTCGGTTTAACCTTCCAGAGACACTACTACTTATGTTTGTTGTCAATTATAAATGAATGTAGTGTGAAAAATACTTTAAAGAGCCCTAATAAAGTCTAAACCTATTCATTTCCCCCAAGCCCAGTTTTATTTAGACTTTATAAGCTTCCACTTAGACACTTTTAAAGAGCAAATATGTATAGATATATGTAAAGTATAGGTGATATGGGAGCTTCTGAGATTTATTAATGAAGATTTATTAAAAAAACTTTCTTTAGTACTGGGAATCAAACTCAGGACCTCACGTTTGCTAGGCAGGCATGTGACACTGAGCTATATCCCCAGCTCAATGTCCATAAAAGTTCATCAGGGGAAACAGGATAGATAAACCATTATAGATGAAGTTGGTGTTGCACAGTAACTTCTGGAAATCAATTTGTCTTAAATAAATAAAAACTTTTAACTTAGGATATTTGTATTATACAACATCCAAAACCCACTAATTCTTAGTTTTTGAAATTCAAAAATTTAAACATGGAGCCTAAACAAGAAATGGAGTTGACAGGCTCACAAACCTGATGCAAACCCTACAACAGAGACACCTGATTTCAGCTTCTTCCTGGGCTCATTGGCATTTGCTAATAACTGCAGAAATAATTAGTACAATATACAGGCATGAAGAATCTGCTGAGCACCTTTTACAGGGTTTCACAAGAAAGCTGATGGGCAAAAGAAAAAAATAAAAAAAACAGGAAGAACTGAAAGAAAATGGGAAGCACATAAATAAGCTTACATGTCATGATGGAAGTGGCCCAGATTTACAAATTGACCATTGCATATGTATAGATGGGATTGCATCTTTGACTACAAATATGGTTTGTATTCACATTGATATTAATTTAAGTGAGTCCACATGCTACACCATATTATTTAAACACGATGTCTAGGAGCAGTGGGGGGGGGGGAGCTTAAGTTACTCAGCCCCTCAGGTCGCTGTCCTCTGCCCTGGCTGGTCAGCAGTCTCTGCATAGGACTCAACAGCATGGTATATGAAAGGGTAAAGCTTGACATCCGGCCCTGGGGTGGAACAGTTTCTGCATTCTTCATTGTAGTATCGTAGCAATAGCTTATATACTTCTCCTAGGGAGGAAAAGGCCAGAATAATTTGCACACTATAGTATGTAGATAGGAAAAAACTTCAAAAGAACATTCCAGTTTTATCTTAATTCAAGCATATATGCTCAGATTTGGATTCTGTATACCCAGAAAGTTTTCCTAGCATCCACTTAAAGAAGCTACCTAACTCACAACACAGCAGGCTAGACACAGGCTATATGATCTGTGTTTTTCTTTTTTTTTTTTTGCAATGCTAGGGAATGAACCTAGGTCCTTGCACATGCTAGGCAAGTATTCTACCACTAAGCTATATCCCCAGCTCTCATCCATGCTATCTTAGGAGCACATGGAAACCCTAGGTATTTACACGGCTCCTGAGGCAGTAATCACGCTGCACAAGCAGTGTACATGTCTGTCTGATAAATACATCCTCAGCTTGGAGTACGTTGCAATTATTTTCCTAGGTTTTCCCCTTTTTTCCCTTCTTTTTGATGTTGGATATTAAATCCTGGGTCTCACGCATATTAAGCATGCACTCTACCACTGAATTATACCCCAGTCTCCCTGTAGTTTCTGTATGTAGAAAAGTAAAAAAGTATAGTAACTCTAGCTTCTTGGTCTTACTCTCAGAGACTGAAACTCAAATCACAGATAAAACGCTGGCAGACAAAGAGGCTGCAAATGCTACCCCTCCATGCTCTGTTCTCCTCCCTCCAAGTCACTTCTTTATTCCTTCTAAGCCACTGTGATTCATCCAGATTCAGCAAGTGCTTCTCCCACAAGTGGGCCATCCATCTAGATATCCAGTTTCAGGACTGTTTCTTACTTACCAACAGTCAGTTTCCTCTCAGTGAGAAAAGTGTGCATGCTATAAATGTCTCGCATCAATTCTGAGTCCCCAAAGGTAAAATAAGCCACATCTCGCTCAGCTGCAGCAGCTGCCAGGATCTGTATTAAGGCTGTAGTGAAGAGAAAAGATACAGCTGTATGATGACACTGCCCATCAAGGTACATTTAGCTCTTCCAGCTATCTAAGTTAGAGCTGGCATGCCATTACTTTATCCAGATTAAAGGCTTATAAGCCAAACATATACATTATTAGATGGGGTGAATACAAGACCGGCATAAATCATCTAGTTGTGTGATTTTTCAGATATGCTTCTGAGAATATCATTAAGCCACCAAATGCTCATCCAGACACTTTCTAGACCATAAATAAAGACAAGCACATCTGAAGCAGCAAACCAAGACACTAACGTGGTGGTATTTATATTGACTTGTACTAATCTAAAAATTGAATTTTTGAGTTTGCTTAGTTGATACAGTAGTTTGTCTTATTACACAGTCACTGGTCTTTGTACCACAGGCACATCTGGGAGGGTCTAATGCTCCCATTAACCCCTGGTGCGCATTCCCAAAGAGTGCTAGCAAGCGTGCCTGCACCTCCACCCCCATGATGCCCCTACCCCTACAGCCTGCAGTCCCTGTTACTGAAGACACCAGACCCAACTCTGCTATGTTGGAAGAGAGAAGCAACTGAGAACTACTGGTTCTGGGAGTCAAAGCTACAAACCACTGTATTAGAAAATGATTCAAAAAATAAAGTTCCCTTATAATCCTAATACTCAATAGGTAGAATTTATTTTAAATAAATAAATTGTAAACACAGTTGTAATAAAAAGTCCTCTTTAGAGTTATATATCTTTTACTTCATAAAAGGAGAGGTGGGAATCAAATTAAAGTATTATGGAGGATATCTGTAGTTTTATGTTTTTGACAGCAAACTAGTATTTATTCTACATATTAAAAAAATAGATAGATAGATAGATAGATAGATAGAGATAGATAGATAGATAGATAGATAGATAGATAGATAGACGTTGCTGGGAGCTGAGGCTCTTGCTACAGAAGGGTCCAGCCAAAATAGAGTGGGTAGATGGAAATGGAAGCCTAGGGAGTGTGCCTGTGATATCTACATAATTCATATTTGCATGTATGTTCACACACATTTTTTAGCTCTGCCAGCTGAAGGGGCCAAGAAACCAAGACTCCTGTGATAATGAGCACACTTAGTGCTCGCTCAGATCTAGGTCTCTACTAAAATTTCCCCCTAAAAACAATACATCCCTTGGAGGAATGACTAAATCCATGGTTGGAACAAGAAAGGCACAAGATGACTAGAACTATGGTGTATCAGAGAGTAAGGAAGTGCTGAAGACTGACCAGAAAAACTGATAGGAGGTTATCACAACAAAATGGAAGCCAGCTTGAACGAGTGCCCAGATCTGGAGAAGCTAGGCACTGAAACACTAAGTATAACAGTGAACTACAAACTCTTGGAAAAACACACATTGCAGAGTCCATGCTGACGAATAGATAGAAGGATACACAAACAGAGTGCAGAATTCTATAGATGGAAAGATAAATAGAGGTCAGGAAAGAGGGCTCTTGTTCATAGGAAAGAGCAGAGACTAAATGAAAGCTAGAGAGAGGGCCACAGGAATCATGAATAGATGCTAAACACACAGGAAACTTACAATGTCTTTTTACAGAGTGTATATTATTTACCAGGGAGAAGGAAACTAGAGTTCTATACTGTGGAGAAACCAGGCTTCCTGCATGATGCCAGAGCAGCTTCCAATGCTGTCTGATGCCATTCAGTGTCTTGGGACAGCATCACGGATGTTGCTGCTGACCAAAAGTGCTAGGCCTCTCCCTCAGCATGAGGAAGGAGCAAACCAAATATACTAATGCCACACAGGACCAAGGCTACAGAAACACTCCACATTCAAAGGCAGGCATGGCACTAAAATGTGCTGCATGACCTGGGCCCTGTGCTAGAAGAACAGGCTACAAAAACTCTGTTTTTTTAAAAAAACTTTTACTTATTTATTAGGTACAGGGTCACATGATGAACCTAAGACTAGTAGTAATTCTCCTATCTCAGCCTCCCCAGCGCTGTCTGGTTTTGGTGGCTGGCATGGCATGCCCAGGGTTCCAGAACCAGAACAGCATGTGTACCAGGGATCCAACACAGGTCCTTGTGCTTGCCAGGCTGGCGCTTAGACCACCGAGCTATGTCCTCAGCCCCACTTTGTTGTTTTTGTGAGAGTCTCACTACTGTAGCCTAGGTGAGGGATTACAGGTCTGCGTCACCATGCACATCCTCTGTCGTAGGCTCAGCGTGCCCGGGGGTGGGCCTAGTGTGGCACGCAGCACCGGGGATTGAACCCCAGTCCCTGTACTTGTCTAAGCAGATGCTTAGTGAGCTGAGCAATTTTCACTGGCTCTTTAAGTTATTTCTAAGTGAATATACAGAAGGAAAATTTTTAATGTGAATTAATAAAATTGGGTGTAATTGAGATTTGGAGAGTATGTGTTATTATAGTACCTTTGAGATTCCAAAATATCATCAAAGTACATCCTAATTGCCAAAGTAGTATTTATTATCTACAATCTGGGAGGGACCATGACTAGGTCTCATTAATCTCAGTGTTAAAATTAATTAATTTAATTAAAACTGCTCAACCAAGTTATACATACATGAAAGCTTCAATACACCCATTTGTAAAGATTCCTAATTAACCTAAACTACATGTAAAAATGTAAACTAATGAATTATCATCTTCTAGCAAGAGGTACCATATCTTACCTTTAATTTTCCAGTAGACTACAGGTTATTCGCCATTTAAAATAAAAAAGTATTAGTAAACTTCATAATTATCTTATAGAATTTACCCTAAAAATGTTCTAGAGCCCATTCTGTACTGTAGAAAGTTTGGCATTAAACATGACACTATTAAAAAAAAAAAAAGTCAGATTCTACTAAGACTGAGAACAAAAACTAACTTACGCTGTATCTCTGTCAGCCCCTTGGTTTCTGCGGTTCTGGGGACTGAACCTTAGGATAGTGTGCATGCCTGCCAAGCATCGGCCACTGAGCTATATGCCCAGCCTTGCTTCACACCCATTCCTGTTTGAGGCATGCTGTTCCATGAGCAGTCAGATCAGAAGCTGAGTAACACACTGGGTCCTCACCTTCTGTTAGCTGGCTTTAGCCAGGCATTGGACACTTTTGGGTTCATTTTTCTTAGCTACCCAATGCAGGTGGTGAATTAGATCATCCCTAAAAACACTTTCAGGGTACAGAATTCCATAATTAGTCTTCTAATTTCTCTTCCTGCATTAGATTTAGACTATAAATACACAAATGAGATTTCCAGGAAGAAAATTAATCTCGACCCTAGTCACTGACAAAAAGCTCATTTTAAACAGTACTGTCTGGAGACCCTGCAGACCTCACTGTGACATGGCCAATGTTTGCAAGAGAGCTATGTCTCACAATTTAAGTGTGCTCTCTTGTGTCAAGTTAGATGAAAATAAATCACAAATCTAATAGGGTGTATGGACTGATTCCAAGTCTGATATAAAAGCACTGAATTTAACTTTGAGCACAAGTAGGTGCCAAGGTAATCACTTAAATTAACCTGCAGGGAGATAGGTTTTAATTTTCTTTTTGGCATCAATGTTAAACTATGAAAATGCAAATAAATATGAATAACAATTTCAAAGAACAATTTATAGCATCCTTCTGCAACAAATGAACTGAGCAAAAACTGGGTAAATGATGGCTACTGTGCCACGAGAGTGGTCTGTGCCATTAGCAAGTAATATCAATAACACCAGCTATCTCCAACCTCTTACAGCACAGGCACCTGTTCTAGCACCTTCATCAGCACCGACTCACAACTCAGCATGATGAATTTATTTAATCCTCACAGAGACAAAGGTAATTAGGAATATGATTTCTGTCTTGAAATAAGGATACTTGCACCAGAAGGCTCAATAATGTGTGTGAGCCCACCCAGGCAAGACGTGGTGGAACAGAGGTCTGACCCTGGCAATCCAACTCGCATACTCTGCCCACTCTGCTCCTGCTGCCCACTGCATCGTGCTGCTCGCAGCCAAGCAGGCCTTGCCACATGCAGGCACCAGAGTCTTCTCACACTGCTTACAGCATCATTTAAATACATGCTGGCAAGGAAGCTTTTTTTAAATAGTGTCATGTTTAATGCCAAACTTTCTACAGTACAGAATGGGCTCTAGAACATTTTTAGGGTAAATTCTATAAGATAATTATGAAGTTTACTAATACTAATAGCTTAATGATCTAATTCACCACCTGCATGGGTACAGACTAGAAAGCATGACTTATGCTCTTCCAGTGAGCCCAAGGCCTTTTGTGGACTCTCACACTGCTGGCTGCCCTGGAAGCCAAAGTCCCGCCACCAGCCCTGCAGTATTTTCCTTGTCTGAAGACCACTCTTCCAAGCCAACTTTCCACCTCTAGTTGCTTTTTTCCTGGGCTACTGCTCTTTTCTTGTTTTTCTTAAGACAGGGTCTCACTATGTAGTTTAGGTTGGCGTTGAAGTCACTAAGTAGTCCAAGCTGGCTTTAAACTTGTGGAACTCCTCCTGTCTCAGCGTCCTGAGTGCTAGGATTACAGGTGGGCATTATCATACCTGGCTACTGCTTTTTATCTTGACTTGCTCCACCCCTTCTATTAAGGCTATTACTGAAGGCTTAATCTTTGCCCTTCTTGCCTACTTTAGATACATGCTCTTCAATTCCATTACTACCTCTGGAATGGTGCCTCCAACAGATCCAGTTCCAAAATAAATAAAATTACAAAAATATAGGCAATGGCTTCAATCCTGGATTGAATTTTCACATGGAACTTGCTACATACATGTAATGAATAGCTAGTTACTCACCTCTCTATGCCTTGGTTGGTCCACTTACCAATAAAGCCTTCCTAACAGACTATTCTGTGCCTATACAGGTAAATACACTCCTATACTCCATGGTACAATTCCTAGAACATGGAATGCACTCTCATCCAACATGTTCTTAACTAACAATGATAGCATAGAAAAATAATAATAATGAACATACAGTG